TTTTCCCCCCCCCCCCCCTTTTTTTTTTAAACATTGTTTTATTTTGTCACAGGGATCAGGAATTACTTACTTTTGGAGGCAGACTAAAACTAGTAAAAGATCACTCTCTTGCAATCTACAGTATTATTAGTCTGGATAAAGGACACATTTGCTGGATGATAAGGGTAAAATTGTAACCATACCTAGCAATGAGTTTATATGTGAGGCCACCTCTATTCTCACCTGGGGTGAGAAATTATAATGCAGTCGTAGGTCTCTCCTCACCTGGGGTGAGAAGGCGAGCCTTTTGGCTACTCTCACCCGATGTGCGTTCACTGTTACTGTTACCAGTGTAAACAATCGTTCCAGCGCTTTTGTTTTGAAAGCGTGCAATTTTGTATGGAGGCAGTGAGAGAGAGAGGGGGGGGTGTGGGGAAAGAGAGAGAGAAGGAGTAGATAATCTAGCGAGAACTTTCAGGCAAAACAATGTGGCGACTGGCGTTGTAAGTAGTTCGGCTCGATTCGAAAAGTGGAATAGCCGTAGTCTCTTTGTAGACGACCAAATTAGTTTACTTTTGTTCTATAACATCATTTTCTTCTTTGTTTTTGTCAATTTGATCATTCACACCGACAGAAAATATTCAGAAAGTAGGAAAAACCAGTCTTGTTTCTCACCGGGTGAGAGCACTTCCAATAGTGTGTGAATATATAACATTTCAAACTGGAAGATCGCTGATCACTCGAAGCTCAGGGTACCTCTAGAAAAACTGGGGAAAACCATTGTCTTCTTGTCTGTGTTACTGGTGATCTGATACTGATAGCAGTGTAGTGGAAAGTAATGCACTTCTTGTGCCTAGATTTTCATTGATTGGTTGAGCAGTCCCACTTGGGAATACTCTGGCTGAGCACCATGCTTGACATGCTTGCCCTTTGCTGGGAAAGTCTGGCAGTCAGTGATGACATGTGATACAGAATAAGATAAAAGTATGTTGCAATGGTCAGGGTTGTTGTAGTTATTCATATTTTGGCAATCTGTGTGTCTGTATTTTGTGTACTACCGGTAGATATAAATTTGTTGGCCTATGCTTGGGCTTATAAGGAGAAATTCCTTGTAACCCTGTCTGTTCAGTGCGGTAAATTATTAAAAGTAAATAGTGTTAGTGAGTCTTTTTTTTTTTTTTTTTTTGCAATGGGAGTTGGAACAAAAAAATGCTTTTGTCTTGAAGAAAGTATATGTTCAGTTCTAAATGGTCTCTAAAATAATTACCTGATACCAATTGCAATTCTGTATGCTAATGTAATATGTATAATCAAATTTGAAATGGGGGGGGGGACTTGACTGCAGTTCTAAAATTAATCTTCATGTCCTCTGATTGGAGAAAATGTTTCTCACTTGTTCTGTGATATTATTACAATGTGTTTGTACACAGCAGGTCATGCTGACTGACTGCTATCTTAATTTTATTGTGGCTTTTATGTGTTACAGTACAGTTGTAGAAATGTCTTTGCAAACCAGCTCTGAGAAGATTCAAGAATATATTGTTACATTATGCCTACACATTCATCAGTCACTCTGGTGCAATCAGTTTTAACACTACTCTACTCTCCCACAGGCTCAAGCATTCAAGAAATTCATCCCTATGTTTGATCGTGTACTTGTCCAGAGGTTTTTACCAGAGTTGAAAACTAAAGGAGGAATTATGATTCCCGAAAAGGCTCAAGGGAAGGTTGTGGAGGCCACTGTTGTTGCTGTTGGACAAGGGGCCAGAGCAGAGGTAACAACTGTTGGTTTGATTGGACGAGAAGCACAATAACAATGGACTTATTAGTATGGTGGGGGGGGGGGGTTGGATGGACAAGACTCAGGACCAGCCTCTTCGAGCGTCCATCTGTCAACTTCCGTAACTTTTTTGAGTTCATGTATAGTATGCAAGTAATTATTGAAATGACTTTTCAAGATTTCAATTAATTGATGTTGGTTGGCTGATCTCAAGTGATTTGAAAAAGAAGAAGGCTGCAGCAGAACTACCTTTTTTTCTGTTATAATAACAAATACTTTGTTGACTCTGCTACTAGTATTGCTCTTGATTAACAGAGCTCAACCAGTCTGCATACATATATACAGTCAAGCATACACAAAGCGAAATCTGCACTGCAGGATGTGGACACCTGTCATTACGTGCAAATTTTAGACTTTATATTACAATGTAAGAAAAACATTTGGGGCCTGAAAAAGTTGTTTGCTATTTGCATGCCAGATTGTATGGTATGCCTATTTACTAGTATTTACCCACTTCGTTTTCATTAAGTCTGTGGCTTACTTAGTGATCCAGGGATATTTTAAGTTAATAAAATTACATGAAGTACAAGGCCCTCAATTGGAAAGCATTTGTGCCCCATTTCTAGTGCAGGTGTTTCCTGGTAATAAAAAAAGTACAGTGGAGACAAATTATCAAATTGCATGCAAAGAGTTGAATGTCTAGATTTTGTTGTTAGAATGCCTCTTGCAATATAAAGAACTAACAGAAATGAAACTTCCTTGAATTGATGAATCCCAATGTGAGGCAGCGTGGTGGTATCAAGCTCTCGTCAAAATATTCAAAGTAATCAAAGTGAAGAAACTTGCATTTTTCCGCAGGTTTGTGAATTTTTATCAAATTTTTGTTTTTTCACTCAACACTTTTCATGCATATTAAAGAACTTGTTTCTGTGTGGGTTTTTCTGAAAAGCGTTGATTAAAGGCACAAAAATGTAAATTTTCAGTTACCAGCTAAGGAAATAACTAATTTTTGGCGGCCATTTTCTCACTAATTTTACCTCTGAAAACAGGTGACCCCCACCTCCTTCTTTCGCAAATATCTCGACTTGTATTCAAGATAAATGGATACTTTTTCATCCAATTGAAGACAAGTGAATACGCTTTAAGATGATAACAATAACTCTACATGCCCAGAAATTGACGAGAGCCTGATTCCACCACGCTGCCTCACAAATGTCATGTGAAAGCTTCAGAATATTCCTGTTCTTCCTCAGTCTGGTCTTAATTACTTTAGTCTTAGTTTGAGATACATGGCATGGTTAGGGTTAAGCTAAATTTTGAAAAGAAAAAAAATGTCAACAATCAGTTTTTTTGTTTTAGTAGAGGTTTTACGGCGCTCGCAACTGCATAAGGTCATATGAGCGCCAGCCTGTCAACAATCAAATTCAGCCCATAAAATATATATAGGTATATGGCTCTATTGTGCTCTCTTTATTAGAAATTTGTATTCATAGATTATTTTTTGTTGTTTACAGAATGGTACTGTCGTTCCACCAAGTGTCAAAGTTGGGGACAAAGTGTTGCTTCCTGAATACGGGGGCACTAAAGTTGTGCTCGACCAAGAGGTAAGAAGAGCTGAGAAACATAATTTACAAATTATATTATAGACCTCAACCTTTACCTTCTATGTATTTATTTGGCAATAAGTCTGCTATTGTTACAGTAGGCGCATGAAATATTTTAATAATGGTTCTTAACTGTAATGAGAATTACAGAATGAAAAGTGCTTACAATGTTTTGTTTGCATTTACAATTTCCATAATGGACGACTTTATGATGGTGGACTTGTATCTTATTCCTGACAAAATATGAATGACTATAATCAGCTGTCATGCCTGATAACAATTTTCAAAATTCATTTATTTCCATGTTTTCACACAATATTTATTTTGGCTGGTACACATAAAATAGGAACATCCTTTAAGTCTTAGATTGCAAGATAATTTACAAGTGCATGTTGTAATTTTTTTTTTAAGGTTTGGTTTTAGCAAAAGTTTTACTGCACTTGCAACACAGATAGACTGTAATATATATAAGTGCCGAAGATTAGAGATAAGGACAATAGATGTTTGATATAAGAAGGAGCAAACCACACCAGAGCACCTACCAACTACCCTTTTTTTTTTGGGGGGGGGGTGTTTGTTCCAAGCTAGTTAGGTATAGTAATTAAGTAGATTTATTTTAGAGTATTTGTGAGTATTGAAAGGACACACTTTGTTACGTGGTCTGAGAGCTGAAAGAGTTTTAGCGATATTCTGATCTTGAGAACCTTTAAAGATGTGCAGCTTGGGTGTGATCATGATCATGCCATCTTCTTTCCTTGGTCCACAACATCGCCTTTCTCTTTTCTCATCATCATCATCATCATCATCATTGCCTTTCTCACCCTGTACCAGGGTATAGGCCACGGACAAACACTTTCCACCTTTTTCTGTCCTGGGCTAGCCTTTTGATGTTATTCCATGTCTTCCCAATTTTCTGTACATCAATTTCTGTAATTCTCCTCCAGGTTCCCCTTGATCTTTTACCATGTGGATTCTAATCCATCACTTTGTTATGCAGCTGCCTGACTTCCTGAGAGTATGTCCAATCCATCGCCAGCGCCTTTTTCCTACCTCATCTCTGACTGGGATCTGTCTCATTTTCCCTAACACTTCCTCATTGGTGACCCTGTCTGTCCATCTGATCCTCAGTAACTTTCTTAGAGACACTTGTTCAAGAAAACCTGGATCCTATGCAAATCTATGATGCGTTCCATGTCTCCCATCCATACAACAACAGGACTGATTTCACATTTTAATTGAAAAATCCTCAGCTTTGAAGTGAGACATCTGTGGTCTTCCAAATCTTATTCAAAGATATGAAAGCAGCCTGTGCTTTTCCAATGCGTGACTTTAACAACCCTACATTAAGGTCCAGATACCAGGATCAGAATTTCAACAAGGGTCACCCACACCTGAGCTAAAATATGACTGTAACTGAGCTATCTGCAGGTCCTATGGAAGTCGAATAGGCCTATATTATTTCTGTGATCTAAGAGTGAATCCACATCCTTATTTGCTTTTTTTTTTTTTCTCTCAGGATTACTTCTTGTTCCGAGATGGAGACCTCCTTGGCAAATTTGACAGCTAAACCTCAGGAACTTTGTTGGAATGTTATGTGGGTGCTTGACTGAGTGTGTTTTTGTAATGATCTGATAGTGGAAGAATGCACTGAAAGTATGACTTTTCATTTTACATTATATTATAATCAGTATGATACAGGACCTGATGCCATTTCATGTTTTTGATATTTGATATCAACAGGACTCAGTGTGATTGTGATGGTGCATTTAGAAAATTTTCCAGACTATGTGCGTTGTATGTTGTTGTGTGATAATGATATGACGTATGATTTCATTTCAGTTTCATCTATAGTCATAGAATATTATTGCTTTTTCATGTTCAAAATAAAACAGTAAAAATGAAAACATGCTTGCTTTTACTTTGTTATTTGTGTTTGAAGGGGAATTAACTTAAGCTGTTCTTTCTGAGCTGTCCTTTACTTAACATTGTTTTATACCAAATCACCTACAGTGGAGTCCAAATTATAAAGACACTTTTCTTAAACCCCGTTTTTTCTCTTCTTTACCTTTGTAAACAAAATACTGCTATAGCACAATCAGACAAACATGCGAGTCGTTTATAGCTAAATATTGCTGCTGCTGTGCACAATGCATGGGCCAATAATTATACATAATGTAAAACCTTGCCAGTTGAGAAACTAGTTGGTGATCTAGTGAAACAAAGAATGGGAGAGCCCACGTGTGTCAACAATGAAGGCCTGAGCGACTGAGTACGGAGGGTGTGGCATGCGCAGACAAGCAGAACGCATCGCATGATAGGCCAGCGTAAGCCTAGTTTAGATTATCAAGGCCTACCATGCCTCTCACTTCTCCGATGTGGGGATGGAGAGGTCACAGCAATGTGATAAATGGAGTGAATGTGTGACGGAATGCACCACAGGGTGTGGGGGAAAACGCAGCGGGTGTTAGCCCAGAGCCCTTTCTTTCTGATCGCCAACGCCGAGCTGTCAGTCAACATCGCTAGATCTAGCGCTAGAGAAAGAAACCTGATTCGATTTTTGATCAAGTAAGACCTAGAGGTCATGTTGAAACAAAATCATCATCAGGGGAGATTGCAAAAGGAAAT